CATAATGCTAAGATCTACATCTTCAAGAACATATTTCTCTCCCTTTGCTTTCAACTCTATCTAGTTTGCATCACGATGCACCCCCCCCCCACACTTTAAATAACAGAAAGAAACCGCCCGAGGCTGCGTTAGAATCCCATTTCTTGCACTTGGCGTAAACAGTAATGAAATTGTGGTTTTCTATTGAGGGAAGTCAGAACAGCGATTCTCCATCTTTTTTCCGGGGACGTTCTGATGTGATTTGTTAGGATACATTGAAATTTGATGAAGAGTTTTGAAAACGACATTTGTGAAAATAATAACAAGTTGATGGTGTTGTGTAATTTGGTTGTCAAATAAAAGCAGTTTTAACGACACATTAATGACGTTAGCATAATGATTAGTTTTGACGTTAGAGTTAACTTTAATATTCGGATTAGCTTAAAAGTTAAGGTTAACATAAGGATTATCTTTATATTTAAGATTTTCTCAAACGTTCGAATAAGTGAATGGACTATTGTTGATCTCGTATTTCGTGACAATATGTCACTATCCTCCCCCCCCCCCTCCCTCTTTTTCCACGTCCTATGTGCTAATTAAAATATTTGTAACTTCTGCAGCAAATCTTGCGAATGCAAAATATCTCTGTGTTGTTCATATGAAGTGTCTAAGATTACTTCTTAGTTTTGTGCTTTAGTTCATTTTTCTGGGAGGAATAATCCTAACGAAATTGAATCAGTTAATGAACACATTATATAGCTTCTTGAACCCCAACATAGATTAGCAGCTAACGTAAATTTAATTTTTTATTTATTTTCTTGCGACGCGAACCAGTCATCAATCGCCGTTGAGTGCTTGCTATATTTCTACTGCGTTTAAGAGAGCTGTGTTGATTCGACAATTTACAGCCAATCCGGGAGGCTTTGATATCAGCAGAGTAGAGAGACGACGTATAATTTGAACATTGGGTCGGTTGAAGTGTTGTGATCTGGAAGGTTTTACTACTACAGTGTTGGTGATGGTTCCATCATCCTACGACTTCAAGACATTATTTAAGCCGAAAGCTGGTTATACAAAAATTTAGACATTATCGTTCCCATACAATTTTTAAAAAACGATAGTAGATTTAGGATTATAATTATGGTCACTGACAGTGTTTCTTCCAGACTTTTTTCTCCGGGGGAGCACTTGAAATTTTCGGGGGGGGCGGTAGACTTTCTTCGGGGGGGGGGGGGGGCGGACACTGTTAAAAATATATATTTTCTATATACATTTTATAAATTTCATTTCGTTCGGGGGGGGGGGGGGGGAGGGCGGTAAAAAAATTTCGGGGGGGGGGGGGGGGGGGCTTCGCCTGGAAGAAACTCTGGTCACTGATAATGTCAGGTTAGGCTTAGATGTCTAAGGTTTAGTTACAAGAACAGTACAATTGTAGCAGATGAAGCAAGGGTCAGACAGACATCAGACAGACTTTAGACAGACTTTAAAAAGTGAGCTGTTGAACATGAACAGTGAAGTTTTCACACATGAAGCAAGGTCAGACAGATATAAGACAGACTCCAGACAGACTTTAGACATACATCAGACAGACACAAAACAGACTTTAAAAAGTGAGATGTTGAACGTGAACAGTAAAGTTGTCACAGATGGTTTGCCGAGGCCATGGGTCTGAGTGGGCAAATATTTAACCACGGTCGCCTCGGTGGGCAAGAAAAAACTAGATCGAATAAAAATACCAACTCTTGGAGAAGTGAAGATTTCTTTAAACATACGAGACCCAATCTTCAAACAGGTCTCCACTGGGCAAACGTGATGCCAAAATGTAACGGAAACCTGGATTGTGGGGAGGGGATGAGGGGTGGGGGGATTTCTCATAAGTGTTTTTAAAATATATTTCTGGAAGAAAGATACGAACCGAAAAAACGGTTGTTTTATTCGCCTTCACAAGCTTAACAAGTATGGCCTAGAAATTTAACTTGAGAACCAGGTGTTAGCGTGACATAGGGTCACAGCAAATGTGACTTGAGAACTCAGTGCTAATCTATCTTCAATCTACACATAGAGTTACCGCCCATGTATAGGTGTTACTGCCCATCTAGAATAGTCACCGGTTCGCAGACGAAATTGTCGGACTTGACCATGTCTACAGGCTTACCAGACGGATACGATTTGAAGTCAAAATCCCACAGCTATCAAACCCCTACCCCTCAAACTTCACACAACTCACCCCGCCCCCCCCCCCATGCTCACCCCTCATCCACCCTTCCCCAAACGTATACACACGATTATTTCTTGTCTTTGTTGCAACTCCCAATCCCCCGATTCTAAAAATAAACATCCCGATTGAAAACACGGATGTGACGATTTAAAGGAAATAGCGGAACGACTCCGCATGCGTGCGCATTCTCTCTCATCACGTGCCAGCAACACATACAATTAAACTCCTCTTTCTCCTTTACATAGGAAGAATCTGGTCTTGATCCTATTTATGTTTATGTCGAAAACTCCATACAGAGAAAATATCCCTCCCCACGAACACTAACTCCAGTCGAATGAAGCTTGAAGTTCATTATCAATAATTGCTTACCTCCCTGTATTTGCTAAGCGGCTGCCTATCTTAAAGCTAAGCTAATTTCGTTTGATTTTGATCCTATGCGTCTCGCAAATTACACATTATCATGGAAATTCTACAATTCTTTTTATATTTGAAAATGATAAAAATCATGAATGGAATGAAAAAGGGGAAACGAATAAAAATAAAAATCGGCCTAATGTGGACATATACAATATTTATCATGCATGAATTGTCAGTTTTTGGCCAGATATTCTGACGGGGAAGCCAGGGATGGCAAGGGAAGTGCATTTACGTCTCTTACAAATATTTGGCCAACGGAAGTGGGCGTCCGACAAAAGTGTGTTTTTTCCCGACACGACGACAGACACACCGACACACTTTACCGACTGTAGAATGTCTGTGTCTGCTACAGAAATAGTTCGCCTAATGTCTGTGTCTGCTATAGACATAGTTTGCCTAATGTCTGTGTCTGCTATCGGAAATGTTCGCCTAATGTCTGTGTCTGCTCGGTATTTTGGCCGACAATATACTGAAGCTTCATCAGCCAGACATACAGCTATATATTCTTACAAATATCAATACACCAACACCGTGCTAAACTCGAATTCCCTCCAAAACTACCAAAATTTACAAGTATTGTCAAATTTTTCACTCAGTTTTATTCGTTTCTCTGGTCTACTATTTTTATCAACCCTATCTCTATCTTTGGTTGTTCGCGATATAGATCTAATGTAGAACAATCACAGTAAAACTGACTTCAAAATTCCAGTTTCTTTACAATCTACTTACAAATTGTGTCCCAAATACCCTAACGCAATCCTATTTCATTCGTCCTAGTTGGATAGAAAGGAAAATAATTGCTCCACGGACCCCCGCAACCCGTGCTCAGGGCAGACGATAACGTCTGTTTCATAGAATCTACTGCTCGTCGTATGAAGATGCGATGTAAGCTGTAATGATCTCGTCGTTTCTCGCGTCTACGAGGCGGGACGTTGGTTGATGAGGTGTAGGGGGCGGCGTACCATTACTTTTGGCCCGAATCATCGGAACGTCGTTACCCTGATAGACCGCCGACCGACGGCTAGTAATTGGGTGTAGGGGATAGATTGATGACAGGCCAGGGGCCGTTTGACCGGAAGTTGAGGAGAGTTTACAGATGAAGTGATTTGACCGGAAGTTGAGATAAGGAGGTTGCAGTCTAGCCGGTTTGTCCAAGAGATGAGTTAAGCAGGTTGCAGTCTAGCCGGTTTGACCGGAACTTGAGTTAAGGAGGTTGCAGTCTAGCCGGTTCGACCGGAAGTTGATATAAGGATGTTGCAGTCTAGCCGGTTTGACAGGAACTTGAGTTAAGAAGGTTGCAGTCTAGCGGCTTTGACCTGAAGTTATGGCAGATTATATAAGAAATTAGTTGACCGGAAACTGATTATGGAGAGTTTACGTAAGAACTGAGTTGCCCGTAAATTGAATATAGAAAGGATACACAAGAACTCTTTATGTTAAATATAGGAAAGTTACATCAGATCAATTGTCTGAAGTTTGAGTTTACATACCAAACGTTTATACCGGAAGACCAGGAAAAAGGGAACAAAGTATACATTTTCCCACAACTTGAGTAAAAAAAAATGGCATAGCATTTTGCAGACTTGACTGACAAGTGAGTAGAGGGTTTTTTCTAAAGTCCTATTCGTCTAGAAGTTGAGTACACAAGGTTACAGGTCAAAGACCTTTAACATGATGTGGAGTGGAGGTTATTTACGTTTTTACACATTTAGACTTATCGTGGAAACAGATTTATCTGCCCTCTAACATTGAAGGTTAACTTGTACCCAAAGGTCAAATACAAATGTTAGATACGCCATCTCAAAAGGGACAACCAAACGTCAATCAATCGGCTTAAAATGGACAAAACCGGTTGACTAAAGCTCAGCTTGAAGTACTTAGCTCAACGTGAACCACACACATCTTAAGTTAAGTTCAAGTTGAGCTGAATTTATCTGGCGTTAAGCTCATGAGCTGAACTCATCTAGCGTTAAGCTCAAGTTGAGCTGAGCTCATCTAGCGTTAAGCTTAAGTTGAGCTAACCTCATCTAGCGTTAAGATCATGAGCTGAATTCTTTCATCTAGCGTTAAGCTCATGAGCTGAACTCATCTAAAGTTAAGCTCAAATTGAGCTAAACTCATCTAGCGTTAAGCTTAAGTTGAGCTAACCTCATCTAGCGTTAAGCTCATGAGCTGAATTCTTTAATCTAGCGTTAAGCTCATGAGCTGAACTCATCTAACGTTAAGCTCAAATTGAGCTAAACTCATCTAGCGTTAAGCTCAAGTTGCGCTGAATTCATTCATCTAGCGTTAAGCTCCAGTTGAGCTGAGCTCATCTAGCGTTAAGCTCACGCCAACAGTTTCATATCACGGAGCTCTCATAATGCGTGTGATCTTTGATTGACAGGTGAGGCGGTGACGGTGAACGCTGATTTAAGCCTGCGGTCGATGGGGCCCATCTCAGAGCTGGATATGGTAGGTTTAGCAGGTTTATGTGGTAGGTTGTAGGAGATGGATATGGTAGGTTTAACAGGTTTATACGGTAGGTTTTGGGAGATGGATATGGTAGGTTTAGCTGGTTCATAGGGTAGGTTGTGGGAGGTGGATATGGTAGGTTTAGCAGGTTTATAGGGTAGGTTGTGGGAGATGGATATGGTAGGTTTAGCAGGTTTATACGGTAGGTTGTGGGAGCTGGGTATGGTTGGTTTTAGCCGGTTCATAGGGTAGTGTGTGGGTTCAACCTGAGCTTGATATAGTAGGTTTTAGCAGGATGATATGGTAGGTTTTAGCATTTTCATAAGGGTAGGTTGTTGGAGCTGGATATGGTAGGTTGTTGTAGATGGATATCGTAGGTAGCTGGATAGGGTAAGTTGCAGCAGATAGATGTGCTAGGCTGTTTGTGATATATATGGTAGGTTTTGTAATAAATTTAGAAGTTGATATATTCAATAACTACAATACCAAAAAGCTTCTGTCCTGCGTAAAAAAAGTTGTGAAAACGTTTAAGCGTAGGTTAAGACAAATCATTTTCATGTACATCGAGCTCAAGCTAAGTGTATAATCAATTAGTGCGTCTAATTACCCTAAACAGTTTAATTGTTCTGTTAAACCCGATGGCTGGTTGCACTAATTGACCCTTCGTGTCTGTAGATCTACACACTCGACTGCTACTTCCGGCAGAGATGGATCGACCAACGACTGGCCATGAACGTGTCCCTGGAGAATCTGACCCTCGGCATCAAGATTCTAGAGCGGATTTGGCACCCAGACACGGTCTTCTACAACGGACAGAAGAGCTACCTGCACGCCATTACGTCACACAACCGGTTCCTTAGAATAGGTGCTAATGGAACCGTGTTGTTTTCTCAAAGGTAGGAATCATCTGCAGATATTTAAAACATAGTTGAATATCGTGGTCATACGGTAGAGCTCACGACTACTAACTCGAAAATATCGAGTTCCAATCATGTTTGAATCAGTAAGATATACCCAGGACAACCCAGTCTTAAGGATTACCTGACATGTATATCCTCTCTTAAACGGAAGCAACAGAAACAGGGAAGCTCTACTTCATCTGCCCTCATGAAAGTCAGTTCCGTATTAATACATTTCGTTTGCTTTTTACATAGTTTTACTGCCTCGAAAATAAGAGAATTGTTGTGTACGTTAAATATATTTGCCTTGTTGCTAATGTTTCAAATTAATTTTAGATTCTATGTAACAGTTTTGTATACAGTTTCACGATTCATTTATAAATTGTGTCAATGTATACTCCAATTTTCTAAACAATTGTTTTCTAGCTCAATTTTCACTGAAACAAAAACCATTAAACAAAAACAAAAACCTTGATTTAACCTGACGTTAAAATGTGTATTTCTGTAGGCTGACCATTCAAGCAACTTGCAGGATGCACCTGGAGAACTTTCCAATGGATATCCAACACTGTCCTCTGCTCTTTGGAAGTTGTAAGACTTGGTTACCTGTGTTGTGTGTGGTTACCTGTGGTGTGTTTGGTTAGCTATGTTGTGTTTGGTTACCTTTGTTGTGTTAGGTTACCTGTGTTGTGTTTGGTTACCTGTTTTGTTTGGTAACCTGTGTTGTGTGTGGTTACCTGTGTTGTGTTTGGCTACCTGTGTTGTGTTTGGCTACCTGTGTTGTGTTTGGTTACCTGTGTTGTGTTTGTTTACCTGTTTTGTGTTATAAAGTTGTAATAGTTATATTTTTTTATGTTATAAGTCTATAGAAGTAGAAAAGTATGTAAAGAAGTATTTCAATTAAGAGTTCTGATTGTCCCTGATCTGCCTGTAGCCCATTAACCCCCATGTATTTACACAGTCGCTTACTCCACTGATGACGTAGTCTACAAGTGGCGCTATGGTCAGAAAGGTTCCATAGAACTGGCACCGGACCTACGTCTGTCACAGTTTGACCTGGTGGGTTTCCCCCTCACCAACTACACGGGCATGATCAAGGGAGGTAAAGCACTTTTTTTTATACTACTCTACACCAGACCGTAAATCGACAACTTTTGAAGTATTAGACAAAGAAAAATAAAATCACTTGAGTACAAAATATACTAAAACAAATCAGACCTATGGTAGATTGAGACCGACATGCTATTTAAGAATTTGTAAATGCGCGCCAACACGACCATTCCACCAACCGCCGTCAACCATTTCTCATGTTGCTGTTGGCCGTTGTTGTAGACACAGCGCCCCCTGCTGATGCGGAGGGTAAATACACCAAGATAAGATAACCCACACACAATTATTGATTTTATTCCCGGCTTAGCATAATTGCCCGAGCCCCTGTTTGTTGGCCGGCGAGGGGAAGAAATTTTTGAGGGCAGATCCGGAATATTCTCCGCCCGCTGCCGACATTGTCTTGGATCCCCGAATCAAATGTCATACTCAAATGTCATACTTCCGGTAATGTCATTGATTTAGGCCAGATCCATAAATTGGAGTGCGTGTTTTGTGTATGTAATCCAGCGTACCAAACAGACTTTGAATTGTACAAACAATAATATGATTGGCGAGATGAACTGGTAGGGAATCAAATAATTACCGGTAATCTTAAACGACTGACCCAGGATTTGCCGTACAATTTTTGAAAAAGGTTGCAATAGAAATTATAGTTAATTATACCAGTATAACATACAACTCATTATGCTGGTACAACTTACAAAAAGTTTGCCATTATCGACACAACAAACTAAATACTTTGTCGTTCGGTGTGTGTGGAAATAGAAGAAACAGACAAATAACAGTCAAAACACACAGACACCAACAATAGAAACAGACCAATAACGGTCAAAACACAGACACCAACAAAAGAAAAGGACCAATAATAGTCAAAACACATAGACACCAACAAAAGAAACAGACCAATAACAGTCAAAACACATAGACACCAACAAAAGAAACAGACCAATAACAGTCAAAACACACAGACACCAACAAAAGAAACAGACCAATAACAGTCAAAACACAGACACCAACAAAAGAAACAGACCAATCCACATAAAGACCAACAAAAATAAACATAAAAAAATTCAAACACAACATACGAGTAACAAAAAAAAACACAGTCATAAATACCAAAATAAACATACACATAAACATACAAATACCAAATGAAAATACAAACACCAACAAAACATACAGAAACCAAATGTAAGATACACATTCTAGCAGGAAACGTTTAACTGTCGGACCCCACAAGAAAATAAACCCTCCACCCACTAGTTTAGTGTTTAGTACATAAAGTTGGCGAGATAAAAACGTGGTTGAGTTTTATTTAGAGAGAGATGACAGCAAAGATATCTTTGAAGATGGGAAGACAAGATTTAAGTACTCGGGACCAGGGGAGCTTACCGCAATGGTTCAGCCAAAGTTCGGTAATCCAGGGTTGTTTAGGAAGCTATATGTCAATACAGTAACATATACATATATTATTGCCTGAAGTTAAAGATGGTTAAATATTGACGGTGTTTTCCTATCTGTGTAAAGATAAATCATTTATTCCCCATACATATGACGTATTGGTCTGGGCACTACTGTAATAATTCGTCAATTTTACAAGATGGCTTCGGTTACATAAATTTAAAAAAATACAAACTTCCAGAGTAGAAAATAATATTGAATTTTGGATCGATTGCAAAAAGCCACCATTAAAATGTTGTTCGTAACATCCCATACAAGGCTTGACGTATGTTACGTTACCATTAGCCCAGACACTGGCAAGACGATAAGATCCTTTTTCAACTGGGATGTGTTATTTGAATTTTTTACCAGATGTACTAGCTGTTTTTCCCGGATGAAAGTCACGGGTTAAGTCGACTGTGTTTCTTTTAAAATATATTTATAAAACTATACCCGGCGAAAAAAATTTTTTTTTTAATTTACAAAAAAATTACAAATGTTACACAAATTATTTTTTAATTTGTTTCAACTAGAATACGTTTAAAACGCCATTGTCGGACAACATTGTCATAATCCGACGGGCACAGAAATTATTCCAACTTTCCTAAAACTCCCGACTCAAGGAAAACTTCCCGGCATTCCCGATCGATGATCGAGACAGATTGTGTAAGGCTATCCGGTAATCGAAACCCTTGACCACCGGAGAAAATTCCCCGACTGAAGCGGGTGTGGCTGGTTCGATTCTTTCCCGCTGGCCACGTTTATCCCCGACCCGTCACTTAAGCCGTTCACTTTAGGGGGCGCTGCGATTCTTCTTCCGTCGAATCTCATGTCGTCTGACTGACACAGGCAAAAGTTGACTGGCACTTGACTGCATTGAACGAAACAAAATAAATAGATAACGAAACATGTCGCTTTTTGAGATACTGCGTTCAAATTCAAAGTACGTAACTCCTTCGGTTGTAATAGCGGTCCATAATGAATTATATATATATATATATATATATATATATATATATATATATATATATATATATATATATATATATATATATATATATATATATATATATATATATATGTATGTATATATATATATATGTATATATATATATATATATATATATATATATTGGTATATATATATATATATATATATATATATATATATATATATATATATATATATATATATATATATATATATATATATATATATATATATATATATATATATTGGTATATATGTAAACCATATTATCCAAATACTTACAAAACGTGTACTGTAAAATGTGTTTATGTTTTTTTTTTACAAGTTGTTGAAAATATCGTTAGCGATTTCCGATTACTAACGCCAAAAATCAAAGATATAATTGTGTGTCTAGACCAAAGCTAAACACACAAGATGCCATTAAACCATTTTTTTTTAAATCGATTGCCGTGAAATCCATTACCAGCTAAAGATGTGTATTTTAGCAAGCAATGACGTCCAGTGTTCTGATTTTACGCCGGTCAGCTTTTAAACGCCTGTCTCGAGTCGGCTGTTTTGTCTTGGGTGCTCCATTGTCGGGGCTCTTCTCTCAGCAGACGATTGTCTCAACACTCCGCGCGCTTTCCATGCCTTGAAAAGATAACTTGCGGGGACGTCCACGACCGGAAGAGTAGCGCCCCTTTTGGGGTTTCCCAGCTGGGAGATGTGATGAACAGGGGGATAACTCGGCCCGGATTTATGGTGGCTCGTGCTCCAGACTTGATGACACGCTAAATTGTCATCCTAAACCGGAAATAAACAGCGTGTGATAGTGGCGGGAAAAAAGTGCAGTTGGGTAAAAAATTGTACATCATTATAGGGGAAAACCAGGAAAAAATATTAAAGAATATTAAGATTATATAGGGCCTTCCTACGGAGGAAAACTAGTAGGATTTCCATAATTTAACGATAAAACATTTTTACGCATATTTTGTTTTGAAAGTTCTATACGAATGAAGTGCAAAGAGCGGATTAATTCAATAAAAACCAAACTAAAAATAGAAAGCTTGATAAAGATAAATGGCAGTTTGATTTTTAGAAAGAAATTTTGTATGGGCTTGACCCTGTAGGCTACATTGCACTAATGAAATTAACATATCTTAACAACCCGTCAACAGTTTGCACCAATTAAATTAACATATCTTCACCATCTGTCAACTGCTAGAATCTCAATAGATTGAATTTTTTTAAAAATCTGTTTCTGTACCTGTACCTCGCCTGGTCAACGACTAACATGCAATACAATAATAACTTTAATAACACCACTCCAATGCTGGCCTTTGATGCTTACATCATAAGCTTTCAATTTGGTAGGGTGAGAGATTTTCCTTACCATATAACAGCGTTACTATGTAAACGAAAATGTTTTTGGTCCTAATTTTGGTTCGATCTAGATTTGTCCAGCAAACCCCTCATTAAATTTGGCCCGATAAGTTGATGTAATTTTAGAGAAATGTTTGTTTATATAGTCTCATTAGAATTTTATTTTGTGTGTGTCATTGTTTATTCCAGAGTTAGTCTTAGAGTTTATTCAATCGTTTTTCTGTTTGAGCTTTTTTTTTCATTTTCAAACATATTCATTCAAACATTATGCAATTTATATTAACAATATTTTATTTGAAAAGGGGAGCAACAGAAAATGATGTGCAAAATGTTGAAACTTAAAATTAGATTTAAATTTCGAGCACCCCATTCACGTCATATCAAGTCTCAAGAAATAAATTAAACTTTTAAAAAAATCTTAAGCTTGAGGAAAACATGGGTCAGGAAAATCAATCAGATATAAATAAATAATTTTCCCGGGAGCCGATGCGATCGAAGGTGTCAGGATGAAGCTGCTGTGCCGGACATATTTTACCATCTGTGTCTAATAGAAAGTGGTGTTACAAACGGGCTGCGGCTGGCAGATTCCACAAGACGATAAACGGACGACATAAAGAATGGTTTTCGACCCATAAATGTCGGTTGGGGTCTGGTCCGGCGAGACTAGAGCTCATCGATTTTGCCAATCAAAAATGGAGCAAACACAGCAGTTTTAGCATTTGTTTTCATTTGTATTGATCTTTGTCAATCCCCGTTAAGCCTAGACCGCGGGGGTGGACTATACAACAGTAAGTCAAACTTAGTCCAACAAAATGGGGCGAGTATGTATGAGGTTAAGTCATGGAACCTATTCACCATTCATACAGCAACCACTTTAGAAGGAACAAGTATAGGCATAGCAGTGGCACTAAGCCTATATCTGCCTTTACTATTGTAATTTTTCTTGACCCTTACGAACATGAGTTAAAATAAAGCAGATATTTAACCACAATTTGTATCCTGGCTACCCAGCTGTTCTTTAGTCTAAGGCGATAACATTCTTACTTGATGTTGGAGAACGTCTTTCGACGCCAAATTTCTTTTCATAACCATAGCTTCACCGACAGAGTTCTAAGTCAGAAAGCTTTACAATATATTGTACAGAATATTTACAAATTTGTTAGAACTAAAGTTTAAACTCTAAATTATTATATAATTTCTTTACTATTGTCAAGACGAACTTATGTCCCTTTTGTCTCCAGCCATGCACTCTGTTCTTTGTGTGACGTTCAAGTTAAGCCGTCATGCCGGCTACTTCCTGATCAACCTTTACCTCCCCTGTTGCTTGCTAGTTGTCCTCTCTTGGGTCTCGTTCTGGATCAACAGGGAGGCAACTGCTGATAGGATCGCTCTAGGTGAGTACTGGCCCGTGGTCTAGAGGTACAGCACGTGCTTGCTAGAGAGATGTCTTGAGCTAGGTTTCTGGGGCTACTAGAGTATGTAAGATGTCTGACTGTACCAAGTATAGATGTACCAATATCTAGTGGTACAGATGTCTAGCTGTACCAATGTCCAACTGTACTATCTGTACCAATGTCTAGTGGTCCAATATCTACCAATGTCCAGCTGTACTCATGCCTGACTGTACCAATGTCCAGCTGTACAAAGGTCTAGATGTTCTAATATTTATCTGTACGAATGTCCATCTGTACCAATGTCCAGCTGTACTCGTGCCTGACTGTACCAACGCCTAAAGTGTGTACCGCTCAATGAACAAACCTCTCCAACGTACCAGGTTCCATGACGGCCTTGACCATGACCATCCTGGGCATCGAAAACAAAAGCCAGCTGCCCAAAGTCTCCTACATCACCGCCCTGGACGTCTACGTGGCGCTCTGCTTCGTCTTCGTCATCGCCACAACGCTGGAGTTCGCCGTGGTCCACTACTTCACCAAGTACGGCACGGGCGAGCCTCTCATGCTATCAAGTGATGACGACAGTTCCACCGACGAGGTAAAAAAAACACAGAAATTTAATAAAAAAGAAATCTTGCATGAACGAGTTAATGAGAAGTTAATTTTTGCCCGTTGACAGTGATAGATTAACGGGCGTGGAGATTATTTTGTGTGTGTACCCAATGACTCCGTAGGAGTTGTTTTTATAGGGGAGGGTTATGAAATATTAACAGCGCGCGTGTTTTACGTGTGCTCGCGATTTGACAAGTGTTTTAGCCCCGAGGGGTTGAGTGAGCGGGGATGAAAGGGACGCAAGTTGTAAATGGTTGGCGTGGAGGAGTGTTCGCCCCTTAAAATAAACACAGCTTTTCAACGAGTTCGCATCTAGGGGGACCATTTCGGATACATTTATTTTCTATATATAGATTTGCTTGGGCTAGAGGCACGCCCACCTATAGGGGCCCCATCTATCAATGGCCTAATCCTCGTGGCCAAACACAAAAAAAATGTTAGGTTTTTAAGTATTTAAAAGCATTAGAACCAGCAGATTATAAAATTTTAAAGCATGGTTAAAAGTTATAATTTTAAGGGCTTAAGATTAAGTATTCGTTAGCTTCTAGATTTATGATTGTTATTTCACTGTTGTTTTAGTGAAACGGTTAATTAGTCGCATATTTAAGATTGTGTCCACAGACCCAAGTATGAGCTAGGAATTATCGCCCTTGTTCACACCATTAAGTAATGTATCCACATCCACACCCCTACTGCAGATGTTTCTTCAACACCCCCCCCCCCCCCACACACACACACACACATATTCTTAGGATATTAATTTTGAAGGGCACTAGCAAGGTAACTGTAGTAGGTAAAATAAAACAACAGTTACTTCTTTTTTTATTCCAGCCATTTGTTTAAATTTTTATTTGTCGCGTTTTAAAGAATCGGTTTTTTTTTTAAATTCTACTATATGCTAAATGACAAGGAGTAATATTTAATTCTGTGGCATTCTAACGGGATGATCTTCTAAATTAATTTATTACTGGTTGGAAAAAATTCGCGGTGTCTTATTAGATTCTTGTATTTATATTTATAGTATAGTACACCTAATTATCTGACTCATCAAATTGATTTAATTAAATACATAATAAGCTCGACAATTCTATATGATTTCACGATGCAGAAATAAGCTCATTAACTGTTTTAATGTAATTAATATATCTTTTAATAAGATTATAACGCGATATATGAGTACATCCATTTAATGTATGTAATTAATTAAGCAGGTATCTCATTAAATTCTAGCTATCTGATGACATTAATTTATGCAATTAATTAAGTTGGTATCTCATTACATGTAATTAATTAAGTAGGTATCTCATTACATTCTAGCTGTCTGACGACAACACACCAGTGGATTCATTAACAATGCAAAACGGGAAGTTCAAGGTTCAAAATTATCCCTGGCCACCAAACCAAGTCAATGTCAAGGTCGGGATACTTGCCAAGTTGTGCCACTGTTTGACCAGGTAATATTTGGGCAGGTAGTGTTGGCAAGGTAATGTTTTGCCCAGGTAATATTTGGCCAGTACTGTTGGCCAGGTAATGTTTTGGACAAGTAACATTTGCCAGATAAAGTTTTTGGCCAGGTAATGTTTGGCCTGGTAATGTTTGGCCAGGTAATGTTTTGTCCAGGTAATGTTTTGGGCGAGTAACATTTGGCCAGATAAAGTTTTGGCCAGGTAATGTTGGGACACTCACCAAGCTCTGTCTTGTTTAGGTAAAGTTTAGCTAGTATGCGAAAGTTGCCAAATAGTGCCACAACCTGACCAGACAGTTTGCTATAGTGAGGTTGTATTCTCCCAACTTATAAATAGCTCACCAATATACAACAAATAAACACTCGTACATTGATTTTGGAGCTATTCATCTATATTTTACAACCTGTCGCGCTCGATGGTTAATACTATTGATGTTTAGATATTGAGGTGCACTTGTTCCAATTAGGGAAAATAAAGGCATTCTGGGCATAGAAGTGACCAAACTATCTCTTATTTGCCGTAGTTGCAGGAGTCGATGAACTCTATTTCACCTGTTCTATTCGGAAAAAGCTTTATCGCCTAGCCAGTTGCAATAACAATATTTTTTGCAAGGACTCGTCCATAAATGACCTCACTTGCATAGAGCGGGGCGGTTGTTTTAATTTTGTGACTGGAAGGGGGCGGGGCTTAAAATGTGTAGGCCTGAATAGGTCTTAAATATCAAAATCATAATGTTCAAATTTTCTGATGGAGTAAATTAATGACAACTTGTATGGGGATAGGTCTGGCGATTTGATCGTCGTCTGACGATAGAGGGTGGGTGGGTGGAGCGGGGGGGGGGGGGGGGGGTTAGTACAAATTTCGGCAAAAGTGCATGAAGCCATTTATAAATTACTCAAAATTGGTATGTCAGATTTTTTCAGATTGTCGAACGATTAATTTCTCTCTTTCTTTACAGGACAAAAAGCAGACGAGTTCGTCCAAAAGGGAAGCTATCGGTGTTTAGCAATAGCGTCAGCCAAGTGGATAAAGCTGCAAGAGTTCTTTTTCCTTTGACTTTTACGGTGTTGAATGTAGTGTACTGTGTAGCGTACTGTGTATGGGCTTTTTCAGAATAAACCATGTATTAAAACATGTTTTTTGTTGCGTGATGCTTAGACTATTTAATAAATCTGCTCTGAGTAATGGTTTTATAATATTTCTATTACTAGGGTCTAATAAAAACTTTGTATTTGTATACGGACAATTTATAATGATTTCTTTTTAGAAGCATTGAAATCTGACGATAAGTTGACTTATGAATACTAGACCCTATATTTTTTTTAAGGTTAAAACAATACTATAAGAAATATATCAATGATCCAATTAAAGAATAGCAGTGTAGTGTATACTGCACTCCCTCTCCCTTTCATCAAACCCACGTTCTTGCTTGAATTGGCTGTTTTTACGGACTAATTTTTTAGAAGGTTGCAAAAAATTGACCACAGGTCTCTGAATTGTTGAGTGGAGGGGTGATCTGATGTACAGTATGAGACGAGATGGCTGACCTGAATATTGACTTCTGAGCTCGAGACTATGGGTTATATGAGATAACTCAGCGATTTTAAGTTGGTGGGTGAAAAATATATTGATTGGCACTCCCATTAAAAGGCCACAAAAAGCAGCTGTCATGTATGAGAAATCACTGGATAATCAACAACGAATACACACCGCTATATTTTTTTCTTTCTTTCTCTGTTATCTGGTTATGATTATATGGTGTCTGGTGGTGATTATATGGTGTCTGGTGGTGATATATGGTGTCTGGTGGTGATTATATGGTGTCTGGTGGTGATTATATGGTGTCTGGTGGTGATTATATGGTGTCTGGTGGTGATTATATAGTGTCTGGTGGTGATTATATGGTGTCTGGTGATTATATGGTGTCTGGTTGTGATTATATGGTGTCTGGTGGTGATTATATGGTGTATGGTGGTGATTATATGGTGTCTGGTGGTGATTATATGGTGTCTGGTGGTGATTATATGGTGTCTGGTGGTGATTATGTGGTGTCTGGTGGTGATTATATGGTGTCTGGTGATTATATGGTGTCTGGTTGTGATTATATGGTGTCTGGTGGTGATTATATGGTGTTTCGTGGTGATTATATGGTGTCAGGTGGTGATTATATGGTGTCTGGTGGTGATTATATGGTGTCTGGTGGTGATTATATGGTGTCTGGTGATTATATGGTGTCTGGTGGTGATTTTATGGTGTCTGGTGGTGATTACATGGTGTCTGGTGGTGATTATATGGTATCTGGTGGTGATTATATGGTGTCTGGTGGTGATTATATGGTGTCTGGTGATTATATGGTGTCTGGTGGTGATTATATGGTGTCTGGTGGTGATTATATGGTGTCTGGTGGTGATTATATGGTGTCTGGTGATTATATGGTGTCTGGTGGTGATTTTATTGTGTCTGGTGGTGATTACATGGTGTCTGGTGGTGATTATATGGTGTCTGGTGGTGATTATATGGTGTCTGGTGGTGATTATATGGTGTCTGGTGGTGATTATATGGTTCTGGTGGTGATTATATGGTGTCTGGTGGTGATTATATGGTGTCTGGTGGTGATTATATGGTGTCTGGTGGTGATTATATGGTGTCTGGTGGTGATTATATGGTGTCTGGTGGTGATTATATGGTGTCTGGTGGTGATTATATGGTGTCTGGTGGTGATTATATGGTGTCTGGTGGTGATTACATGGTGTCTGGTGGTGATTATATGGTGTCTGGTGGTGATTATATGGTGTCTGGTGGTGATTATATGGTGTCTGGTGGTGATTATATGGTGTCTGGTGGTGATTACATGGTGTCTGGTGGTGATTATATGGTGTCTGGTGGTGATTATATGGTGTCTGGTGGTGATTATATGGTGTCTGGTGGTGATTATATGGTGTCTGGTGGTGATTATATGGTGTCTGGTGGTGATTATATGGTGTCTGGTGGTGATTATATGGTGTCTGGTGGTGATTATATGGTGTCTGGTGGTGATTATATGGTGTCTGGTGATGATAATATGGTGTCTGGTGGTGATTATATGGTGTATGGTGGTGATATATGGTGTATGGTGGTAATTATATGGTGTTTGAGTGTGTCAAGTAATGTATGAGACTTACCCTGACCGTCTTATGCTTGACTTTTCTAGTTGACTTCTTCAACAAACTAGAAAATACAAGTAGGAGAACTCTACTTCATCTGGTCTACAGACGATGAAATCTCGAACACGTATTTTATCAATGTGAATGTGTATATGCAGGGCCTATATAGACAACACACAAAATAGTATTTCTAGAATCTAGTTGTTTCGATTTTTTAAAAAATTCGCTTAAACTTAAAATATCTGACTAATCCTGCAAGTATGTAGTGTGTGAGTGTGAATGTGTGTATAGGCGTGTATTGAAGGGGTCGTGGCTATTATATCAGCACACTTAGCTACACAGGCTGAAGACAACAAAATAGGCACAATAACGCCGGATGATAACAACTAACACAATCTTATTGTACATTTTTAAAATAGTAGACACTATATTATAAATTAAGCTTGCTAGGCGTAGGTTCTACTTTTCTTTAAAAACATATTTAATTTAACGGTTGCTTCCCTTACATAGATTTCTAGACTAGAAAAAGAAAACCGTAAGCTAGGTCTGTCATGTCCGTCCAGGTATAAGTGTTATCGAGTGGCTTGTCTGTCTGTTACCAAGTGATGGTAACACTGGAGGGGTGGGGAGTGGTTGGTGGTGGAGTGTGTTGTGACATTTAGTCATGTGCTGGGAATGTCTTGAAGGTATGTTACAAACTCACAATGTAGTTATTATGTGTGTGGATGTTGTCACGTCTATAAATAGCACAGTCAATATTCCCAGCTGAAACTGTTTACTCATATGTATTGGCTATATCCGCTTGTTGAAATGATTTATTCGTCAGCTGGGTTTAAGAGTAGAAAAATATGTATAACCAAACAAAACAATATTACACTTTCTGATTTTATATGGATTTTATTTTATTTCTGATATAAACTAAAACATTTAGGTTGCGGCTAGGGTTCGTCCATAAATGACGTCATGGGATATATCATTTTATGACGATGTGTGGATAAAGAGGGGGAGGGAGGTGGGTTGAATTTTAGCCGTTACTTCGCTATTTTTAGGACGTCATTTTAGGGGTGGTTTTGCTTTTTGTGACGATGTGTGACTGAGGGGTGGGGGAAAGGGGGTGGGGATAATCAAAAGCGTGACTTCGATTATGGATAACCCCTCCCCCCCCCCCCCTCAAAAAATATAATATAATATAATATAAAAAATGAGTATCATTCATTATCATTGTAACGACAATAGTCTATGACATCTTTGGAGGAGATTACCTTGATATCTTAGAAGTTAGATTCTTTCTCTGGAAGCGAATTAGGTTGGCGTAATTCTAAATGAAACAGTAGGCTTTAAAGATATTGAAAAGTCTCTTGGAGTCTAATCTGGAAGATAGGCCTATAAACAAACTCTAGAGGCTGCCTATGAGGTCAACTTCTCTCGCTGATCTTATACAGCAACCCATTTAGTGCTAGTCTATCTGTGCGTGATACCTATAGATTCAAACTAACTTAGGCAGCTATGCTTATAGTAAGAACTCGGCATATTAGGATTTTTTTAAAGTGGATATATAAGTATAACCCCTATAACTTTATGTTAGGGATCGTCCATAAATGACGTCACACTCCTAGGGGGAAGGGGGGGTCCGTAATTTTGTGACGGTGTGTGATGAGGGGGGGGGGGGTGGTCAGATGTTGTGACGTCACTTTTTTGCATCATAAAAAGCAATGTTGGAAAACGAGTTTTAGCCGTTATTTTGCCTTTTAGAAAACGGTTTTAATAAATTGTAATAGGAATTGATCAAAATACTCTATGTTGACAGAGTTCTGACAAGATTTTGTAAAAATATCGATGTTTTAAGAAAAATTCAACAGCAATTTTGAGGCGAGTTGTAGGCTGAGGTGTGACGTCATTTTATGGGGGAGGGTCTGGCTTTTTGTGACGATGTGTGACGGAGAAGGGGAGGGGGAGGTAAAAATCGTCAAAAAAGCGTGACGTCATTTATGGATGACCCCTTAGGACTTGCTTAATTTTAATCGAAATAATGAAAAAGTCATGGACGCTTCCAATTAAGAAGTAACAGTTATAATAGATTTTTGGTTCTGCCAATACCTCGTCCGAAAGATTTCGCCATCTAAAAGCTCCGATCATCTATCGATTTAACTTAGCCAATTTACTAGCCAGACTGTATTTTGTGCTGTAATGACGACACTGATGATGACTGGGATCGATCAATAAACAAGAATGGTATGTCTTAACAGACGCTATAGACTAGTGTAGAATTTTTCTTTTACCTTGCTAAGGGGAAACTACTTCAGGTTATTGGAAAAATACAAGGAAATTATTTTGTTGAAGATATTTTTAAAATCGACTGTGACCTATGGTATCAAGTTTCATCCTGAACTGGGTTGTACCGACATTTGTACCATAACTGTCCCCAATGCGTATTCTTTGCTGGTTTCTTTAAGATGTTTTTAAAATAGTAGAAAGCAACATATTTATTTTTTAACACTTTGGTCTGAAACCTCACTTTCCCACTTAATAAAATAAAATATAGATCCAGATAATGGCTACATTTTAGAACTATAATATTTTAGAACTAGATCTAGAGATCAATGTAGAAGATATAGACTCTAGATCTAGATTATCTAGTACTGCGACGTTAGTTCCTTTGCCTTTACTACTGCGAACAACTGATATAATTTTAAAATATTAAATATATTTTAATTATAAAAATATATAATCAATACTTCAACAAATTTTCGTTTTTCAACGTTAAAACTGCTAAAATAAGGTAAACAATTTAAAAGACGAACATTGCTAAACGAAAAAATCAATATTGAAAGCTATTCACTGCGATGCAGTCTCTTTAGAGATGACGTCCGGGTCATAGCAGCGCATAATTTATTTTGATTTTAATGTTTATTGAATGAGCAATACTCGTTTCAGGTATGTCTACTCAGCACACTGTACACATTTCATGTAACTTAGGTTTTGATTAAAAATTATACTCCACTTATTCTAAATATTAGATGAGTCTTCTTTTCAAATATCAAAATGTAGATTTCTTTCTTTCTACTCATTAATCCTTGTTAAATGATGACATGAAAAATAATGAAAATATTTTCATATTTTTTTTTTATAATTTTGTGTGTGTGAATTTTGTGGCTTTTTTAATGTTGTTGTTAATTAAATAGAGTCTAGGCCTACTCTAGGCCTAATTGCCCAATACATTTTATTTATTAGCCGTCCTGTCCCAGATAGATCTGAATTGGGAATCTATCTACATTAATCTACAACCATGATTAATATAGGCCTAGGCTTATTTTTTGGCCCTGATTACTAACTTTTTAAGTCTAGAATCTAGATAAAAAGTTTTTATCTAGATTCTAGACTTAGATTCTAATCTAGATCTAGTCTAGAGATCTAGCTCTAGATTCTAGATGGGCCAATTATTCTAGATTTCGTCAGCCTCTAACTAAATGAGTAAACTAATCTGCCCAATGGCTTACTCATTTTATACATAATTAATAATTATTCAAATTCAATACAAAGTGTTACACTTGTACTTTGTTTCATGTCACTTGAAAAAGTTTAAGTTTAAGTAGACTACACTAGATCTAGGCTAGGACTAACTAGAATACTAGACACTAGATCTAGATGTAGAGATCTAGGGTTGAAATGACATTTAGGCTAACTGCACTGTTTTACAATTTACACTCTAGGCTAGCTATACAGCCAGCCTCATTGACAGTGTTTCTTCCAGACTTTTTTCTCCGGGGGGGCACTTGAAATCTTCGGGGGGGGGGGGGCGGTAAACTTTCTTCGGGGGGGGGGGGCGGACACTGTTAAAAGTATATATTTTCTATATAAATTATATAAATTTCATTTCGTTCGGGGGGCTGTAAAAAAATTTCGGGGGGGCGATGCTCATTGATGATTATTGATGACTACTGAAATTGGAGTGTTAAAATAGTGTTATCATAATTGTTTGACTCTTCTGAAATTTATTGAATTTTTATTCTGTTATTTTGTTAGTAGTATTGTTATTGTAGTAATATTGGGCTGAGTTTAGGCTATGGGCTCTAAAATGAGGTTAGAAATATGGTTGTACTACAACTTGGTTGGATATTAGATACATATATGGGGCACTTTGTTAATGTTGACACTAGCTGTGCTAGTAAGTTGTATTAGAATTAAGTTTACTACCAGTAACCTAACCCACTTTTTAACAAATGTTCCATAGTTATGACATTATCATATGTTACGCTTAGTGAGAGGGGTTCACTTGATTCGATTCCATACCACTATATTACATTACAGTACCATCTAGAGGGGTTGTATCCACAAACAGGCTTCATGCACTTGCTCACCGAGACAACACAAGTGATGACCAATCAAAGAGATGAACGCAGATTTCGTGTTCTTAGATTTATTATCATACTTGTCTCACGTACATCTTTTCGCCACGACTATCAAGAGACGACTGCCCCACACACACACTACCCAGCAACCAGTCTCTACATAAAATTGTCACTGTCGCACTATACGGGTCATCATTCCATGCGTTCAACATACCTTTCGCACCAACATTCACCCGCACCGATCTACACTTAGAACATGCATCATAACAACTGGCATTACACATACTCAACTCCATGATATTTTATTTAAATTTTTGGAATAAGTAGCCTATATTTTTATCAGGGAAAATAGGTGTGTTATGAGTAGCGTTATCATCTCAGGTCCATTGTTAGTGTCAGAAATTAAGGCTAGGCTTATGGCGGGACTGGGTTAGCATTGAAATTGCAAGTTATAGGCCTACTTTTTAATTATAATTTACTACTAGAAAGAAAATTCTATTATTGTGGCATTGTCTGGCACTGGTATAATTCATGACCCTAATTTTCCGTTATAAGCCTAGAATTGAAGGGGGCATGCTTCTACTTATTAAACTCATGCTTAGAACCAGCATACCCACTCCACTCTGTTATGTGTCATTTGTTGCTATGCTATATGGTAACCTTTCTACTAATAAATATTAATAATATCATAAATATATTGCATATCCTTTTTAGTTCTAGTAGAAAGATCAAGTTGGCAGTATAAGCTGGCAGCCAGAAAGATGACATTTATAAAATTACATCAAACTGATTCATTATCCAATAATATACAGCTTCAATTGGCTTATTTATAAACATTAAAATTGTATGTGGTAGTTTTAAATTTTTATTGAAGCTTGGTAATCTTTTAAATATCTCTTTTGTTTTGAATTAAATTTGAATTTTTTGTTTATTAAACACCACATTAGAGATAACACATTGTTGTACAAGTTTTTAGTAAGCTGTATATGTTCCTTAAAATAGTAATAGATGTATGATTTTTTTTTTGTAGTTCAATACTTAATTCTATTAAGCCTAATTAATTTAGTTCAAAACATAACCTAACACATTTTATCTGGCAATTGGTACTTTGGTAATTAATCAAAACAATGTAATGCACCAGACCACTATGATAGCTACACTTGGAGAACCATCATAAGCTATTCCCTACTTGTAACCAACAATCAACATATTAACCATGCCTTTATCTAAACATTGAGGGTGTATATTTACTAGTCCACTAGAATTCTGTATTGTATTTGTTGGAACTTTTGTGCAGATATGAACTACACTTTTAGTAACTGTAGCGGGTTGTAGAATACTAACAAGTAAAGTACTTCTCAGCTATAAAAAAACACAATGATTTCTGCATCAACACATATTTTTATATATTTCTATTAGTATTTGAATTACATCTTTTTTTTTATAACTGAAGGAAAAATTAAATATAGTCTGGCATTTTCACAATGACAAAACATTTTCTTGGCATCTGACATGTAGACTACAGCTCAAAAAAAAATACCCCATGATCCAATGTTGTTGGTAATTTAACAGCTCGCCCACAGATAAATCTACAATTATATAGAATCAAGATAGTTGAAATTTGTGAGACACTGTCTGCTATTCAAAATTATATGATCATTCCCTGATTTTTTTCTTTTTCACTAGATATTTGAGATACTGATCAACTTTGAGAGATACAGAAGGTCCACAGTTTGCAAAGACAACACTCTGGTTGTTGAATCATGTCAGCTGAGGTGTCAACAACTCTCTCACCTGACGACAGTGAGTAAATCTTGTCATTTCCCCGTCAATGTTTAGTGTGGTTTTTTTTGTTTGTTACTTATCAAACAGTAACAATGGTCTCAGTATTCTTGAATTTGTTAGATCTATGTATAAAAACTTTTTTAATTTAAAAGCAGTCATGTTATACTGTCTATTTTTAGTTTTAAAATGTCTTGTTAAATACTCTGAAAAGATTAATTTCATTCTGGGTATTTTTATAGATCCTTTTTTTTTAATTATAAATTTAGTTAAATCGTTTTTTGATACTAGGTGTTTATTAGTTTGCGGGTAAATTATTTCAGGAAATATTTTTATTAAACATTTTTACATGTTTTATAGTTTAGTGGATGTAAAGTGAGTTTGTGTCTTTTGTGTCAATCCCAGCATTGAGAATATCTTTGTCCACCTGTAAGTGAACAATAGTAGCAACACAGATTGTGCAGCCATGCATGTATCAAGCATCTTATTTAGGTGTGCAACTATTACTGTGCAGCTAGCCAATTGTATCAGCCACCTAATTTAGCTGTGCAACACATATTGTGCAGCTAGCCAATTGTATCAACCACCTAATTTAGGTGTGCAACACATATTGTGCAGCTAGCCATGCATGTATCAACCATCTAATTTAGATGTGCAACACATATTGTGCAGCTAGCCATGCATGTATCAACCACCTAATTTTTTTCTGACTTGTATCACATTGCCCACTATTCTAAAACCAGCAACAGATTACCATCTCCATAGACTCCTCAGTACTTTCTAGTCTCACTGAACTAGTGGAAATCCTTTCACTCATCTGTTTTTCCAGAGGGAACATAATTAATTAAATGTTTTTAATTTTCTACAATGGGGCTATTATTTAGGTACATTGTTTTATGTAATGTATTTTAAAGAATACACTCTTCATAAAGTTTGTTTTTTTGTTACACAACATGTATTGTTAGTAAACATGGTAGATAACCCTTGAATTTAATAAAATAATGGAAATCAAGAGTTACTTCCCGTAATGTTTTTTTTTGTTTAGAATTGATTTCCTAGAAATGTTGACATATTGATAAAATTATTAAAATCGATCACTTTATAAGCAAAACATTTATGTTGTGTGTGTTAATAGCTTGCTTCTCTTTGTCATTTATAAGTAACGAATAATCAACTCTCTACTGAATCTCACTGATCAAACCAAGCTCTATATTCTCATCACAATTTTTCCCTTAAATCCCAGACTTGGCTTTTGAAAAGTTTAAGCCCAGAGGAAATTACAATATTATAGAAATGTTTAGTTTTCACAATGGAAGGCTATCAATGAGTGCCACTTCTCTACTGTCACTCTCTAGAAACTTAACAATATAATGGTAGTTGGAAAATAGAGGTGCAGGTAGCGTAGGGATACACTACAGTTCTAATTGAGAAAATAACACACTAGTTCTACTGGTGTGTCACTCTGTTGTGTAGATCATATAAGCACACAAGGCCTTGTGATGACCTTAGATGTGTCAATTAGCTGTGTAAAAGCTACTGAAATGGAATCTATGCTGATCTTAGATTTTATCCATAGCAACAGTTTGCACATTTAAGTCAAGAATGAGATTAAAAGTGAAGTGTTTTTACAACATGACCAACATTAGTTTCATGAGCAACTTTTTTTTCCTGTCTGTATCTTCCTTGATTGGGAATTTCTCCCCTTTTATCTCTGAATGGGATAGTCTGGTCAAGTGATAGGGCACTTGTTTGATTACCTGATAGCCTGAATTCAGATCCCTTTTTGGAGTGTACAGAATGTAGAGATTACACACATCTTTGTAAATTGGTAATGTAAGGAAAGAAAAATATTTAGTGCTGGTGCATTGTATGCGACTCATTAGAAAAGTAAAACTGTAGTAGAGATAACTGGTAAGGTGTATGAAAAAACTTACCTGTCTTTAGTAAGACATTAGCGGTTAGCCTAATCAGTGATAAGCTCCCTTTGGGGCCAATTTTTACTTTAAATATGACAAACATCACTTATTTTGGTGTAAAGTGGAATGAGTACTAGACGACTTTGGTGTAAAGTGAGTTTTTACTAGAGTGTTCTGGTGTAAAGTGAATTGAGTACTAGATAGCTCTAGTGTAAAGTGAATTGAGCACTGGATAGTGCTGGTGTAAAGTGAATTGAGTACTAGACAGCTCTGGTGTAAAGTGAATTGAGCACTGGATAGCTCTGGTGTAAAGTGAATTGAGTACTAGACAGCTCTGGTGTAAAGTGAATTGAGTACTAGATAGCTCTGGTATAAAGTGAATTGAGTACTAGATAGCTTTGGTGTAAAGTGAATTGAGTACTAGATAGCTCTGGTGTAAAGTGAATTGAGTACTAAATAGCTCTGGTATAAAGTGAATTGAGTACTAGATAGCTCTGGTGCAAAGTGAATTGAGTACTAGATAGCTCTGGTGTAAAGTGGATTGAGTACTAGTTTGGCCGGGGTTTGGGGCTGTAGATTGCTAAGGACCCGCGGTGTAACCAGTTTGATCCCCACCCGGCACCACACGTAATAGATTTGGCTTGCTGTAGCTGACTCAGAAACCTCGTCCATAGCCACGCTGTAATCCATCTCCCTTACACTTAGATCGCTGTAACCCTTCTTCCTCCTCTAGCAATTATTTTCTTTTTTTATTTATTTATTCTGTCAATCTTCATCTGCTGGGGAGGGGCGGCTACTCTTCACCAGCCAATTGAAGAGGACGCACTGCTCGGGCCTATCGCCTCATCTTTCAGCGCCTTTGTCTTCCATTTTTCCCGAAATTCCAATTTTCTTTTTATAGCCGCGCTAATTTTTTTACGTGAAGAAAAATGTAAGTGGCAGGATGGCTCCAGGTTTGGCAACATAAATCTTGTTAGATAAAAGAAGTAGCCCCAGAGTCCCTGTACGGCCTTTTGCTGGGGCCAGGCCGAGCAATCCAACCCGCGGACAGTCGCTGGAAGCTGTGTTAGCCCGGCCCTTGTTTCAGACGCCCCGTGTGGACACGGGACGGGGGCGCTTGTGTCAAACTCCCGGGCCGGGGCGCTTGAAAGCCTCTCGACAGGGGGGACTTTTTCTTGGGCAAACATCGCGGAGGTTACTGGCGGCGATACGGTCAGCCGGGCTTTATTGTCCTAACTTGATTGGTTTGCACGGAGTTTCCAGCCGCCACACCTCGAGATCTCTTCAAAAGTAACGAGAATTCTCGCCCTTTGACTTCTGGGACGTCCTCTTAGGAACTTTTCTTATAACTTTTTAAAATGAAAGTTTAGCATTTGCCTTTAATTGTTTTCATGAAGCAAAGCTTTTAGTCGATATATTCGTGACACCAGTAACAAGTTTTAAATTACTTTTTTGTTTCCATTATTTGGTTAGGTTGTGTATACTATGTTTGGTGCAAACTATTGATAGTATAATCTTGACTTGTAGGAAAGAGCGATGGCTTCATGCTTACACGCAAAGCCGTACAAGAAACCCATAGAGAGGGCTAAGTCTTAAATAGAGAGTCGTTAGCAGTCTTAGAAGCAGCTTAATTTAATCTGGCGTCTTAGGGGTGGCTTAATTTTATCGGTGTCCCAGCTTTTGTAAGGCGGTGACACGTAGGTCTCTGTACTCATAGCTCAGCTAAATGAAGGACCCGGCATGAACAAGTGCGCTACATTGGAGGGTCCAAATGAAGATTGACGCCATCTTGTCCAGCCGGCCGGCACATCATGCAAATAAATGGACTGGCAATGAAGGAGGCCGAGCTAACAGAGTTACTGTGGAAGGGTCCCGAGCTTAGATTCAGTGAAAGCACTCGTCTTGTATGCTGCTCACAACTTCTGGAAGCCAGGGGTTCTTATGTTGTCAGGGGGTCTGATGAAAGGGGAGATAATTCGAATGTGTACACAAAGATCTACCGGAGTTACGGTTCTTTGGGGGCGATAAAATAATCAGACGTGGATTTGGATTTTTTTTTTCATCACACAAGACTGACATTTTTATTTTTAAAGAAATGTTTGAATAAAAGAAATGATTGGGTTGGCCTATAATACACAATATTCAAGGGTGTCTGAATACAAGACAGAATTAGATTAGTGTCTAATACACAACAAGGATAAAGCTTGAATCGAGACATTACTTCTTTGCTTAAAGGGTTCATATTCCCTTGTACTAGTATAGAGAGGGATGTTACCCCCACAAGACATCTCTAGTGAGTGGAGACCCCGACAAGACGTTAGTCCATGTGTGAAGTAGATACCCCCACAAGACGTCTGTGTGGATCATGTACCCACAAGACGTCTGTGTAGATCAAATACCCGCACAAGACGTCTGTGTGAAGCATATACCCACATAAGACGTATGTGTGGAGCAGATACCCACACAAGACGTATGTGTGGAGCATATACCCACACAAGACGTCTGAGTGGAGCATATCCCCACACAAGACGTATGTGTGGAGCATATCCCCACAAGACGTATGTGTGGAGCATATACCCACACAAGACGTCTGTGTGGAGCATATCCCCACACAAGACGTATGTGTGGATCAGTACCCACACAAGACGTCTACGTGGAGCAGATACCCACACAAGCCGTATGCGTGGAGCATATCCCCATACAAGACGTATGTGTGGAGCATATACCCACACAAGACGTATGTGTGGAGCATATACCCACACAAGACGTCTACCGTCTCCCGATCCCCCCCTCCCTTGCCAAGCTCCCCTTCAACTCGTGTTTACGTTTGTTTATCGGCCATCTTTAATTACGTGTCTTCCGCTTCTTGAGTTTTCCCTCTTTCTTTTAAAGCATTTATTTTGAAACTTTTTTTTTCTCTCTCTTGAATTGATCGCTGCCTGCACATGTTTGTCCTGCACATTTCCTATGATGTTTTGTCCACATAGAGCCGCATTGGCGCATTCAGTGGAATGTTATGATAAGACAAACACACTGCAAGACGTAGATCAGGGCTTTGGATTTCTCGCTGTTGTATGCCTACTTTTACAGTAAATAGTTAGCCTG